GATAGTAGCCAGTGATAGTGATAGTAGCTAGTGATAGTGATAGTAGCCAGTGATAGTGATAGTAGCCAGTGATAGTGATAGTAGCTAGTGATAGTGATAGTAGCCAGTGATAGTGATAGTAGCTAGTGATAGTAGCTAGTGATAGTAGCCAGTGATAGTGATAGTAGCTAGTGATAGTGATAGTAGCTAGTGATATAGTAGCTAGTGATAGTAGCTAGTGATAGTGATAGTAGCTAGTGATAGTAGCCAGTGATAGTGATAGTAGCTAGTGATAGCAGCTAGTGATAGTGATAGTATAGCTAGTGATAGTGATAGTAGCCAGTGATAGTGATAGTATAGCTAGTGATAGTGATAGTAGCCAGTGATAGTGATAGTAGCTAGTGATAGTAGCTAGTGATAGTAGCCAGTGATAGTGATAGTAGCTAGTGATAGTGATAGTAGCCAGTGATAGTGATAGTAGCCAGCGATAGTGATAGTAGCTATAGTGATAGTAGCTATAGTGATAGTGATAGTAGCTAGTGATATAGTAGCTAGTGATATAGTAGCTAGTGATAGTAGCTAGTGATAGTGATAGTAGCTAGTGATAGTAGCTAGTGATAGTAGCCAGTGATAGTGATAGTAGCTAGTGATAGCAGCTAGTGATATGAGCCAGTGATAGTGATAGTAGCCAGTGATAGTGATAGTAGCCAGCGATAGTGATAGTAGCTATAGTGATAGTAGCTAGTGATAGTGATAGTAGCTAGTGATATAGTAGCTAGTGATAGTAGCTAGTGATAGTGATAGTAGCTAGAGATAGTAGCTAGTGATAGTAGCCAGTGATAGTGATAGTAGCTAGTGATAGCAGCTAGTGATAGTAGCCAGTGATAGTGATAGTAGCTAGTGATAGTAGCCAGTGATAGTGATAGTATAGCTAGTGATAGTAGCTAGTGATAGTGATAGTAGCTAGTGATAGTAGCTAGTGATAGTGATAGTAGCCAGTGATAGTGATAGTAGCCAGCGATAGTGATAGTAGCTATAGTGATAGTAGCTAGTGATAGTGCTCAGTGCTCAGTATAGTGCGCAGGAGTGTATAATATAGATGATCTAATATAGATATATAAGATATAATAAGATATAATAGATATAATAGATAGATATAATAAGATATATAATATAGATTTCTATATTATACACTCCTGTTATTATGCTATCGAACGACGGACAGGCTGCAGGCTGCCTTCGGCGCAATTCCGGCCACATAAATACAGAGATAACGGTAGGGTGTGTGTGTGTTGGCAGAGAGAAAGGGTCATTTCCCAGTTTTCAAAGTAAAAAAATATGACAAAAATTAAGCCCTAGTTCCCGGCTGCAAATTTGCGATTCCCAAACCGTATAGCTATGGAAGAAAAATTGAGCAACGTGATTGGGTAGAAAATGTTTAGGAACACGCCACTATCGCACGCACACATGCGCTATTTTGCGCAGGGGCTTATTTATTTTATTTCTTATTATTTTTGGCTAATTTTGTTTTATTTTAGAATAGGGTTAGGGTTAGGGTTAAGGATTAGGGTTAGGATTCGGGTTAGGGTTATGGTTAAGGTTAGGGTTAAGGTTAGGGTTAGGGTTAACTGATTTTTATATCTACGAATTTGGTATCTGCTTCAGCGGGTCAACGCCAGAGCGTTCGAAAGCCATACGGTGTTTTTATTTTCCTCTGCGTGTATGTATTTCTTTGTATTTTATTTGTTTCTGCATTTATTTGTTCTGTAACATTTGTTATGTTCTGAATTAAATATATTTCTTTTAATAAATTAGCTTATAATTTAAGTATATTAGCTTGTTGCTAATAAATGCGTGTCCTAAAATTTTTCTAGCCAATCACGCACTGACGTTCTCAATTTTTCTTCCAAAGCTATACGGTTTGGGAATCGCAAATTCGCTTCCCGGCTAGTTAAAATCGTAATTTCAGCTTTCCGGGTTGACTTCTATACTTTCAAATCACCGCATCTGGTATTTCCCGGTTTCCATATAGAATTAAAATGATCCAATTCCACCTCCGAAAATATAACGCGCCTCCACCCACACTCGCAAATGTTAACAAATCTCGGCAATAAGTGAGAGCTGAGGTAACACGTACGCGGCAATGCGCGCGCCGCACTTACGTAATTTTTACTTACATTATAATAACGCGCATTATATTGAAACGAAAATTTTCTTCGCTCGAGCTTTTTGGATCATTGCCCAACTTGGCGTCTCACTTTGTTCATCGAACCAGCGAGAGAGCGTGAACGTGATCCTTATCCCTGCGAAATTTCTAACAACAACCGGTTTTCAAGTGATGACTAATAATCAAAAACCGCGCTGCTATGGTTGAATTATTTCTACTACGGTAAAAATAATTTCTCCGCGTTGAATTATGAGTAACAACCCCCCTGAATTGGGTAAAAGGGCGGTAATTAACGCGGTTAAATTATTGTGCAACACGACCTCTGATTGAGAGGCTAATAGTTTTACGCGGTGAAGTGCGATTTCTGAGGACAGACGGCCAACCATGCCGCTCAAACTGCATGTAATGCAATGCAGCGCCGCCTTCGTACAACTCAGATAGCGAATAACATAGATTTCACATGACGTCACAGCTAAATGGTCACGTGGTACGGCGGCCATGTTTCTTGGCAAGCCGTAAAACACAGCGGGGCATCACACACGTTAGACGCACTTTGCATACTCGGATTTTCAAGGCGGTTTTTCAGTCATGGTGAGAACGTGTTCTCTAGTTCACTGCAATAATCGATCAGACACGGGGTCCAAGCGTGGGTGGTATATAGCATACCGGCGTTCATCACGCACCAGGGAGAAATAGCTGGCCATTCTATCCAGGAAGAATCAAGATGGGACACCTTGGCTTGGATGCCTACGAAAAACTCTTTTGTCTGTTCGGATCACTTCGTTAGTGGTGAGTGACTAGTATCTAAGTACGGATTTTAAAACGGTGAATTCTGATTTCTTTAGTACACCACTACAGTGGCGTTTTATGACAATATGTAGCCGGCATGCGGCCCATTTAGCAGATACCTATTTTCGCCAACTACTTTCGAAGCTCCTCTCTCTCTCTCTCTCTTTCGCACACAAAGTGTTTATCATAATCAAGTCTGATAGTGATAGTAGTAATAATAGTGTCATGCTCGTTCAGACACCTAAATGCCCCCTCCCTCTCTCTCTCTCTCTGTAGACCATTGCAGTGAAGATAAAACTGTTTTTGATTTTTACAGGCAGAGCATCACAGTTGTTCGAGAAGACTCGTGTCGGTGAAGCCGTGTTACCTCCGACGTGTTCCTGCGACGCCGTGTTACCGGCACCGACGTATTACAGGTGAAGCCGTGTTACCCTGTGACGACGTGCTACCTCCGTGTTCCTGCGACGCCCTGTTACCGGCACCGACGTATTACAGGTGAAGCCGTGTTACCTGTGACGACGTGCTACCTCCAACCGTGTTCCTGCGACGCCCTGTACCGCACCGACGTATTTACCCATGCCGACGTATTACAGGTGAAGCGTGTAACCTGTGACGTCGTGTTACCTGTGACGTGTTCTGCGACGCCCTGTTACCGGTACCGACGTACTACCCATGCCGACGTATTACCGGTGAAGCCGTGTTACCTGTGACGACGTGCTACCTCCAACGTGTTCCTGCGACGTCCTGTTACCGGGTACAGACGTACTACCATGAAGCCGTGTTACATGTGACGACGTGCTACCTCCAACGTGTTCCTGCGACGCCCTGTTACCGGCACCGACGTATTACCCATGCCGACGTATTACCGGTGAAGCCGTGTTACCTGTGACGACGTGCTACCTCCAACGTGTTCCTGCGACGCCCTGTTACCGGCACCGACGTATTACCCATGCCGACGTATTACCGGTGAAGCCGTGTTACCTGTGACGACGTGCTACCTCCAACGTGTTCCTGCGACGCCCTGTTACCGGCACCGACGTATTACAGGTGAAGCCGTGTTACCTGTGACGACGTGCTACCTCCAACGTGTTCCTGCGACGCCCTGTTACCGGCGACCGACGTATTACCCATGCGACGTATTACGGCGTGAAGCCGTGTTACCTGTGACGACGTGCTACTCCAACGGTGTTCCTGCGACCGCCTTTACGCGCACCGACGTTATTACCCATGCCGACGTATTACCATGCCGACGTATTACCGGTGAAGCCGTGTTACCTGTGAAGCCGTGTTACATGTGAAGCCGTGTTACCTGTGACGACGTGTTACCTCCAACGTGTTCCTGCGACGCCGTGTTACCGGCAAGCGTAATCGAAAGGCTCAGGCCGTTTTACATGTGTGAAACTTTAAATCAACTGGTGCATTTTGGTGGATTGTGCTTGTTACTGTGCTTTTACTAAAGTTAGGTTGTGTTACAGAATGGACTGCAGCAGCTATTATTGCTCGAGTAGGCAACTCGTCTAGAGTAACGATAAAATGTCTAGAACCTTCGTATTCACCAAAAACATGCAATTTTCGAAATACTTTATTTTTTCGGATTCTGTCAGATAGCACGTGGTGTTCGATTGTCTAGACGGCCGAGTGCTGTCCCTCACTATGCGTTCTAGACAGCCCCCGACCATGCCTGATTTCGTACGTGCCTAAGATTACCCCAAGCGTGTAGGTAACCTAAGCGAAGAGTATCTATAATATTTCTATATTCTTGTTGTATATTCCTCTTTCTGTATAAAATGAAAAATAACTTGTATTTGTGGTGAACCAGCCTATGTTCCAGGGTAAGACATGTCACTCAGGGACATAGCCCCTGTGTTGAGCAGGGTATTGTTTAGGCACGAAATTATGCAACGTCACCAACAGTGTTCGAAATTCACGTCGGCCCGCCGCCGACAGTTTCGATGCCGGGCCTACAGCTTCTTGATAAAACAGGCCCGCTGATCCTACAGCTATTTTGATCACCGAAAATTCGCAAACACTGAGAAACTGTTACCTGTAGAAATCTTTTCTTGCATATTAACTTCCCAGGAATATTTTTTTGAAAAACTAATCTGTGATAAACCGGTACATACATGTAAACAATGCGTTCGCCCCACTGCATATTCGCGCAGCCTGTGATTGTAAATGAAAAGAGCGATAGCCTGGAACCAGCCTTCGAAATTAGTGCCGACCCGGAGGCCCGAGGCCACCAAGTTTTTGCTTCGGCCACCATCTCTGCGAAACTGCACTTTTCCCCTCATATTACGCTGAAATACTACGGTTTATCGCAACGGCTGTTTAGACAGACTTGTAAACGGGAGGGCATTCTAATACGCTCCGTTCCTGAGCGTAGACGGGGTATCCAAAACATCTAGAGCCGAGGGCATGAACTCCCTCAGCGCATGATTCGCCACACAAACAAAACCTCGTGACAGTCTAAGAAATTGATTGCGGCATGACCGCATAACAATTAGTTCATATATCGCAGGGGTTATCGTGGGGAGTGAGGGCACGACCAATGATACCTGACCGCACGTAATCAAAGCTGTTACTGAATTTGTCACTTTTCTTTACGTAGAAAGTGGACTATTTTTATTCAGTTAGATATCTAGAAGCAATGTAAACTGTATCAAAATTCTATAGGCACTTGTAACTTTGCGGATGTGCGGCAGCATTGATCTATGCATGGGGGGTACGCTGGACTGGGGAGGAGAAAACGAAAGTAAAACCTTTCCCACAGCTCCCCCGACATTCCTAGAGCTTGAGATATATTGTTTGACCAACTCTAAGTATACATGTTTGCTGTTAATGCCAATGGTTATTTTTGTATACTATTTTGTTACTCACTGCTAGTAAATAAGCGGACCACCAGCTTTTGCGGCTCCACTCGCAATGTTATGAGACGCTACTACGTTGCTACCGATGTGTAACAGACTACCAGTCTGTCTCTCTGCAGACTCTGCTGTCAAAGTGGAGAGTCGTAGTTACCAAGGAGCCAACGATGTGGCGTTTCCTTAATTGTGAGCCCCCGGCAAAGAAGCATAAACAGTCATCCGACGAGAGGAAGGAAAAACAGAGGGATTATGATTATGGACATTGATAATGACTAATAAACACAAGGAAAGAACATGATATGCTGTTTTATTACTGTAATTTGCTCCAAAATTGGCGGGCCTACAGCTTTGCTGGCAGGCCTGCAGCTTCTAGGAGCTATAGGCCCTGCAGGCCTACAGCTTTTTCTGCTCAGTGGCAAACACTGGTCACCAACGTGTGGAACGGAATTATTGTCACGGCAATATATATAGCCTTCAATCAGAATGGCTAATCGTGCTTTGTTCTAGCCAATCGCAGAATAACGCTATCTCAATCCACCGTTTGACCAATCAGGAGTAACTGAGCCTGTGATCGTATATAAGGGAGCTTCGCGATCTTCTCTCCCTTCTTGGCGGCTTCCTCGTCGGTTACTCATCCCTGCCGTGCTTTAAGCCGGCTCTTTACTGTGTCACGTTCTTATTGTGTTATGAATCTACTTATCGTATAGAGCCGATCCGCGTATATATGTAAGTGTATTAGTCTGACGTTATTCTTTGATTAAATGCGTTGGTTGAATGGCCGATGCATAAAGTAATTTATTCTACGTCTTCCTCGTTCGGCGNAATTTTTAATTACATTCTGTCTCTATCTGTAGTACATCTATTATTATGAATGAGTACGTTAATTATTAATATTAGATTTATTGTTGTCGTTTATGACTTCCTTTTACTTTTAGTGCAGCACGTACACTTACTTAATACTTAGCTATCAGTCTATCCACCAGTATACACAGCAACTGCCGTATACTACAATTGCAAGTCCAACTTCCCGCCACTATGATAGTAATGTAAATAACCCGGCAAGGCTAAGACTGCAAGATCATAGCTTCGACGTAACAATAACTTACATGATAGTAGATATATATACAGAGTGGCNATATATATGCATATATATGCATTTGTGTGTGTATCTTTACGTGAAGCTTGCGGATTTGCCTTGATTATCAGCAGTGTAACAGATGCATGCGTGTTTCGTACGTCGTGATCGAGCGACAACGACAGCAGCTGTGAGATTGCGAGGTGTGACATCACCTCCACGCACGCATCCTCACTGAACGTGTGCGGGAGCATTACATCTGCAGTCTCACGAGCCAGTGGCTGAACATCAATCCTAGATGAAGCGCGCGCGCGCGTGCGAAGTGTGTGCGCGCGTGACGAAAAAGCCGCGCGGTGATGTTGAACTTTTTGAAGAAAATTAAAATTGTGAATTGTGATCGAAAAATTGCGACGATGTTACGGCTTCGCGGATCTATCGGAGGATGAGGAGCGGCTATGTTGTCACTGAATGGCTTCAGTGATTCAGTGACGTTGTGTTACGGTGCCTTACTGTGTGACAGTCAGTGATGTTGGGTTGACGGTGCTGCTTTGTCTTGTATATGACGTCCCAACGAGGGAGACGTGTTGTTTTCGCGGCCCAGAATGCTGAATGGCTTCAGTAATTCAGTGATTCAGTGATGTGTTGGGTTGACGGTGCCGATGTGTTTCAAACAGCCGAACGACGGAGAGGTGTTGTATTCGACGGGTGATGTGTGCATGTGCACGTCTGGCTCCGTATAGTAGAGAGATGTCCGGTGGCTGTGTGTGTTAGCAGGTGAACGGGTGTAGGCTGGAAGTGTGTGTGTGTGTGCGTGCGTGCGTGCGTGCGTGCGTGCGTGCGTGTGTGTGTACGTACGTGCGTGCGTACGTACGTGCGTGCGTACGTGCGTGCGTGCGTGTTTCAGCGCGTCGAAGGGTGTGAGTGGAAGAGTTTTGTGTATCAGAGTCTGTCCTGTCTGTATCAAAGTGCGTGGGATATCTGTGTGTGTGTGTGTGTGTGTGTGTGTGTGTGTGTGTGTGTGTGTGTGTGCGTGCGTGCGTGCGTGCGTGCGTGCGTGCGTGCGTGCGTGCGTGCGTGCGTGCGTACGTTAGCGTACGTAATTACGTTATATATTGGTTCTGCAGAATATGAATGGTGTAATATTATGGATCAACACGTTGTTAGTTAGTATAATATTTATTGTTCTGAGGAGCCTTCCTCAAACACAGCTCACGCTTCCATTACACTTTACAATAATTATTGTTTCATTACAAGAGAAATAACATTAGGAAACAACATTTAATTTGGGGTAACTTGTGATTTACTGACTGGGATTACCATTGTAATCACAACCTTAATTTCAGGTTGAAAACAATATAAGAGAGTAAATTACGCTTGTTTTTTCATTAGTTAAAGTCAACTAAGCAGACAGCCCTGGTAATCTCCCCCCTGAGAGCTTTAATGCAAGATCAAGTAAAGTTTCTGAGGGCCCACGACATCCAAGCAGTAGCCATTATGGCTGACATGCCTGCACAAGATGTAGAAGGTATTTCAACAATTCCGGAAGTCATCATTCCAAAAGAAAAGCTATTTTTATTAATTAATTAATAAATAAATTATTTTATATGAATGGTTTCTTTAAGGTTTGTTCCACTCAGAGACGCGCTGATTCGGAATATATGCTCAGCTTTGCTGACACACACACACACACACACACACACACACACACACACACTATATATATATACAGTATATATATATATATATATATATATATATATATATATATATATATACTATACTATATTATATATATATATATATATATATAATATATAAATGAGTTGATCAATAGTCTTGACTTGTCACACCAGTTGTATTGCAGGATAAAAAACACATTTGCTGATTGAAGTGCAGTAAGTTCATTATTAGTCAGTTGTTTTTCAATTTCCAGTGTAATAACCAGCAGTTAAATTTCTTGTCTTTCTGACTTTTTTGTAGCTGTTAAGGCTGGTCTCGTCAGTGTGGTCTTCTCGTCTCCAGAAGCACTCCTTGAGCGGACCTGGAGGGACCTGCCCCGATCACAAAAATTCCAGGAACAATTGTGTCTGCTAGCCTTTGACGAGGTGCACTGTATATCAGAATGGTAAACAATTCTTAAATTTAATTAATAAATTTCTCTGATTGTGATAACACCAAGAATAAAAACATGATCGAAAACAATGTTATGGTAATTCTTTTATATTTATTAATAGAGAGTACATGTTGCTTGCCAAAATTGTATGTTTCATACTTGTGTAAATTTCATATCGGCTTGATGTGGATGTAAGATTTTTTAATTACTTATTTTGATAATTTTCACATATGGAATAAAAGGAAAAACAGAGAAATGCGCACTCAGAATTGTATACAGTATCTGGATTCAAAGATCAATGCTCATTCAAATCATTTTAACAATATTTCCTTTAATATTTCTTTTAAGTGGAAAATGCCCTACAACCCTAAATTCAAATAAAAATAATGTGTTCTTTCTGTCACGTTTAAAACAAATTTGTTTACAGGGGTCTGGATTTTCGTAAGGATTATAGCGGGTCTGCGAAATCGTATGCCTATTGGATGAAGTTCCAACGCTCATGTTGACTGCCACAGCACAAATGCAGTCAAAAGCAGACGTCTGCAATGTTCTTGCTGTTGAAGATGCAGCTGTGATAGCTCGTCTTCCAAACGGTAATTACATATTACATGCTTTCAATGAGGTTTATCTTAACATATATTAACGAATAGAGTGGCAGATGTAGTATCATTATTGCTTAGAATATTTATAACACTATTTAAACTGTTTGGATTTAATTACTAATTACTGGAATTGTGATCACCATGCAGCCTTCTGCTACAATGAAATCAATTTGAAAGAAAATAATTACACAGAAGCAATTTGCAAATATTCATGTAACACACACGCATTATTCACAGTCTTAACGATTCTTATAGATTAGATATATTAGCTAATTCTAATTTTTTATTGCAGACCCAACATATTTCTGCACTTACTTAAAGTGAAAGAAAATTTTGAGGAAGAGCTATCCTG